TGAAGCCACAAGGTTCGGGATTTGACCCGCGGTGGACTACATGGGAGTCCCGCGACATAGCCATTACGCTAACTGCTGGTCCCAAAAAATAGATTAAAAAAGAAAAACACATAATGTCAACTCCGATGAAAAGTCTGATTACCAGAGGAACCCAGGTATGACTAGACGCAGGGAGTGCCTGGCCTAAGGACTTGAGCCTTGCTGGCTGAGGCCAGTCAAAGCTGGAGGAAAGAACTTCAGAACTCTTTAGAACTCTTGGAGTTCACTTCTGTTTCATGGAGGAGACACTGAGGCCCATTGAGGCAAAGGTCACAAAGCTATCCAGCGAGCTCCGGATCAGAATCCACCCGCCTGCCAGCGAGCGGTGTGGACACACCCTTCGGCAGTAACCTCAGGGTCTCTTGTTCTCTGGAGCCTCGGGACACCGCGCTTGCCAAGCAGTGGGCCAGGAGGCTCTGGTCCCAGTGACCTCCAAGAGCCTGCTTCACTGTTTCTCACCTGCCCCCCCCCCTTGTGCCCCAGGACAGCCTCCTGTGAGCAGTGCCAAGAGGTAAGCATCCAGGAGGCTGAGCACCTGGAGAGGACTCTGCAGGTCCAGGTGACAGACACCTGCCCTGTGAGCTCCCAAGGAGAGCAGCGTCCAGCTCTCTGCAGCCTGAGAGTCGGTGTGGGAAAGGGTTTCTACAGCCCTGGCCGCTCTCTAGGACAGCTCTCCCCACCCCCCAGCCCACGGAGCCAAGACACACACACACCCCAACTTTCTCTGTCCTGTTCCATTACTGTTTGCTGTTGCTTTGGAGCCTCATAAATAGGGCATTGAAAACACTTCCTGCAGCTGAAAGAGGCCTGAGCAGCCCCACTCATTCCCAGTGTGCAGCTCAGCGAGGGGTCGTCCTCCTCTGTCACTGTCTCTTTTGCCTGTTGTAATTCTGTCTGCCTCTCTCCACTCTGCGGGCTAGCTCCCGTCTGCGCCTCCCTCACACTGGTTCAGTCGGTGTCCAGGTCTTTCTGCCCCGTTGCCTTTGACCTGGCCGCGCTCTCAGGCCTTCTGCAGACCCATCCCCTCTCTCAGGGCCTTCCCTCTGCAGGCCTGGAGGTAGAGGCCAAGGGCTCCGCCTCCCTCTTCACCTAACTGGGGTCAGGAGGACCCAGGTCCTGCAGCCTCGCCTGCCTGGCCTTGAGCCAAAGGAGGGCGGAGCCCATCGGGGCGGGACTGGCCCCGGGGCTACCTCATAAGGCCCACGGCAGGGGCGTGCTGTGTGGCCCCTTAGACCCCACAGACTCCGTCGGGGCTCGGCGGTGTCATGCCCGGGAGCCCCCGGCCCCCGACCTGGGCGCTGTTGCTGCGGCTGCTGGCGCTGCTTAGGCCCCCGGGGCTGGGCGAGGCGTGCAGCTGCGCCCCCGCGCACCCTCAGCAGCACGTCTGCCACTCGGCGCTGGGTGAGTCCGGGGCCCGCGGGGTCCGCCGTGGGAGTTGGGGGCAGAGCGGGGAACCCGTTGGGGATTGGCGAGGCGGAGCCGAAGACTGAGTGAGGGAGAAAGGGAGGACCTCCGATTGCACACCGGTTGGCCCCTGCTGAGGCCAGAGGGTCGGGAGGGGACGCTGCCATAGCAACCTTGCAAGCGCAGAGCCAGCTGATTGGGAAGGAAATACAGATTGCTGGGCTAGGGGCCTCCACAGTAACCTCTCATCCAGGCCATCCTGCGGCTGTGGAGTGCCGCTGAGCAAGGTGACAGGGGACAGACCGGTGATTACTTTTCATCCTGGACTTGGGGGTGGGCTGGGGAGGGCTTGCATGCTAATCATCCACCCCCAGGGCAGGTCCCCACCCCAGCACACCTGCTGCCTCTACTCTTCCCTGCGACCTTCCCGCACACTCCTCAGTTCCCAGCAAATGCTAGCTCTGGTCCCCTCTTATCTGCAGGCTCTGGGCTGTGGGCAGCTGGCAGGGCAAGGGCAAGCCTGGCATCTCTGTGCTCCTCTTGTGTGGGGTGGTTCTGTATAAGTGAGTCCTCCACCTGACCTCCATCCTGGCTCTGGGCCCTGGCCATTGCAGGCACAGAAGAAAGCATGCATCAGCAGTTGTTTTTGTTTTGTTTTGTTTTATAAAGGTTTTTGCCATAGGGCACATGCACTCCCTGGAGAGGAGACAGACAGTGAGAGGGAGAGTGAGCACTCACCCCCAAGGGGGAATGGCCACACTGCAGTCTTTTCTCTTCCCTTCTCCTCCTGGAATTTTGGGCACGAACACATGGGATTTGGTGCAATTTTCCAGCCGCCAGGTCTGAGGCTCAAACCATGATCAGCCAGGTGGGAGTCCAGCGCCTTAACCACCATGCCACCTGCTGGCCCCACATAAGCAGTTTTTGATTTATGTCCGAATGGCAGGAGAGGGGCAACCTCGGTGCAGGGCCAGACCATTATGACTCCAGCAAATGTTTATGCATCTCAGCTCTGGGCGGGCTCCTCCTCCCTCCTCTGCCTGAACCCTACCCTGGGGAGAGCTAAAATTCTAGAAACCCGAAGGCTCAAAACAGAGGAAGAGCCTCTAGGTTGTAGGACCCAGTGGGGCTGAGGGTTTGGAACTTGCAGGATTACAGAGGAGGCCTTTCCAGGTCCCCACTGTCACTCGTGGGGCACTGCTCACAGCCCAGCGGCACCCAGTCCTAGAATGCCCAATGCACACCCCAGAGCCCCAGGGGATCTGCATCTCAGTGACTGCTCCCCCAGTTTCTGAAGGTCCCCTCTGTCTTCCTACCAGTGATCCGGGCCAAAATCTCCAGTGAGAAGGTCGTTCCCGCCAGCACGGACCCCACAGACACGCAAAAAATGATCCGGTATGAAATCAAACAGATAAAGGTACAGAGGGCCAGGCCGGGCGTTGACCCCTGGGGTTGATGGAGGGAGTAGGGTCTGTTCAGGGAGGCGTGGGGCTGGTGGATTTGGGGCGGCTTGACTCGGAGAGCCTTGGGTCTGGATGAAATGGTGGGGACAGTGACAGGGCGGGGCAGGACCTCTCTTTCACTGAAATAAACCAAGATTTCCGTTTTTCATAAAGCGAGAAATAGCCCAGGAGGGCCGTCTGTGTGCACTGAACCCTGAGCTAGACGATTGCTTAATGTCTCTGACTGAGATAGGAGAAGGTTTTTTGCCTGTGGAGAGACAAAGAATCCTCCCTAACCCTTGGCTGCTCTCTGACCACTGCCTTTCAGATGTTTAAAGGGTTTGAGAAAGTGAAGGATGTGCAGTACGTCTACACGCCGTTGGACTCCTCCCTCTGTGGGGTGAAGCTGGAGGCCAACAGCCAGAGGCAGTACCTCTTGACTGGTGAGTTACAGACCAGCGACTGGCCTGGACAGGTTCCGGCCGAAGCAAGGCAGTGCGGAGGGGCCGGGCCCGCCTTGAGTGGCAGGCTGAGTCAGGTGCCATGTGTCACTGAGACAAGGCCTCTGCGCTGGGAGAAGTCTCAGCAATCCCCCTTTCAACACAAGAGTCCTCATTACAGCAATCTTGGCCACTGCTTTATAAGAACAGGTGGCTGGGGCCAGCAAGTGGCGTGGTGGTTAAGATGTTGGATTCCCATATGGTCAATCGTGGTTCGAGTCCCAGACCTGGTGGCTCAAAAACTCACAGTGGGTGCATATGCATGTGTTCCCAAAATCCCAGGAGAGGGGCCAGCAGGTGGCGTGGTAGTTCAGGGTACTGGATTCCCACATGGCCAACTGTGGTTTGAGTCCTGGACCTGGCAGTTTGCTTTCTCACTTTCCCTTCCTTTCTCTCTGTCTCTCTCTGATCAAACTTAAAAAAAAAAACAGTCAATAACAACTTGGGACCAGCAGTTAGCATAAAAAAAAGCAATAAACTTGGGACCAGTTAGCGTAACGGCTATGTTGCTGAACTCCCATGTGGTCGACCGTGGTTTGAGTCCCGGACCCAGTAGCTTAAACTCATGCTGGGCGTGTGTGCGTGTGTGCCCAAGATCCCGAGAGGAGAATGGAGGAGAAGGGATTGTGGCGTGGCCATCCCCCCTGGGGGGTGATTTCTCGCTTAAAAAGCAATAAACTTGGGACCAGTTAGCGTAACGGCTATGTTGCTGAACTCCCATGTGGTCGACCGTGGTTTGAGTCCCGGACCCAGTAGCTTAAACTCATGCTGGGCGTGTGTGCGTGTGTGCCCAAGATCCCGAGAGGAGAATGGAGGAGAAGGGATTGTGGCGTGGCCATCCCCCCTGGGGGGTGATTTCTCGCTTTCTGTCTCTCTCTGCTTTTCTGGCGAGCTCACGTGCCCTATAGCAAAATAATTCTTTAAAAAATAACCCCAGGAGAACAGAGGAGAAGGGATTGTGTCATGGCCATCCCCCTGGGGCAGGGGGGTTTCTCACTTTCCTTCTCTGTCTCTCTCTGGCGAGTGCGTGCACCCTATGGCAAAAACCTAAAAACAGGTCGTTCTCGCAGTCTAGGGCTGCTGGTTCTGTTTTTTCTGTCTTAATTAGTATGAGATTTTTGGTATCTTGAGCCAAAATCTGACCCTCTGAAACTGCCCATGGGTTCGGCTTGGCCTCCACCAAGGCCTCACAGGAGTCTTGGGTCCACGTGACTGTCTCCTTGAACTTGGGCCCAGGCTGGTCTCCTCGTCCTGAACTGACTAGGACAGCACAGAGTCCCACGCAGGAATACGCCCCCACGCATGCATGCAACACTAAGAGAGAGAGGAGGCATCTGTGTGGTTGTGAACAGTCGGGGCACGCCATTGTGTGAGCTCTGAGCTGGCCCTGGAAGGTGAGCAGCATTTGCAGAGAAGGTGAGGGAAAGCAGAGGACAGCGGGTAGGAAGCACAGGTGGAGGGGTTCATGCACTCAGCAGCGAACGGCCATCTCTCCACCGCCAGGCCGTGGCAGGAGAGTGGGATCCTGGGACAAGGCACGGTCGCAGTCTAGGTCTGGCCCTCGGGGCGTCGTGGGCACTGGGGGCCCCATGGGTGGAGCTTCCTGGCTCTGAGGACGTGAGGTGGTGCTGACTGGGGGACCCTGACTAGGTGGCACAGGCTGGCCGACTGCGACCCTCCAGCGCCCAGGACTAGCGGCCAGGACTTTCGAGCTCCGTGTGCCCCTCCTCTGGGTCTGCCTGGCCCTCTCTGGGCACTGAGGTACACCAGGGGATGAGGAAAGGTGCGCTCTGGCCTGGAGGGAGTCAGACCAAGCCAGCGGCAGGGATAAATGGCAGAACGCACATCTCCTGAGAAGTCCTCGGTGGCACCCTGCCCCATAGGGAGAAGACACCAGCTCTGGGCTGACGCCGAAAACCCCTATGACCAGAACACACGGCCCTCTCTAGCCCGCCAGTGACAGGGCCAGCCCCGCACTTCCCCCAGAGCTTAGCCAGACTCTGCAGTTGCAGAAGGTGTGCAGCTGGGCCGTGTCCCTCCACCCCTGCCCTGGACAGTCCTGGCGGCCAGAACCTTCTCCCCAGTGTGTCTGGCAGGTGAACTCCTACCCATCCCTCTAAGGCCCACCGAAGCGTCAGCTTCCCTGAGACACCTCCTCTGCCCACCCCTATCCAATAATAGGGACGATCAGGCTTTCTGTAGTTCTTACACTGCGTTTTGTGTATAATCACACAACACTGCAATTTCTGCCTTCTTGTTTATCTACTCACTTTTTTTTTTTTTTTTTTTAGGAGTTTGTGCTATAGGGCGCATGCGCTCGCCAGAAAGACAGAGAGACACAGAGAGACAGAAAGCGAGAAATCACCCCCCGGGGGGATGGCCACGCCGCAATCCCTTCTCCATTCTCCTCTCGGGATCTTGGGCACGCACGCACACGCGCCCGGCGTTGAGTTTAAGCCACTGGGTCCGGGACTTGAACCGCGGTTGACTACGTGGGAGTCCAGTGACGTTATAGCCATTACGCCAACTGCTGGTCCTTGTCTGCTCACTTTTAAGCTCCTTGAGGACAGAGATCCTGTTGTGTCTAGTTCTGTATTCCGGGGACGAGGTCATAGCCGTTGCTCAGTGCATACATCATCATGCAAAGTTCCAAGAAAGGTCCGGGCTGTGCTGGTGGATGGCCTGTGTTTAAGGAGCCGGATCCCCCATGGCCAACCATGCGGTTTGAGTCCCAGCCCTGGTGGCTTGAAGAACACACAGAGCTCGTGTGCCTGTGTGCCCAAAATCCTGGAGGAGAAATGGAGGAGGGGTCGCAACATGACCACACCCTGTTGGGGCGAGGGGGTGGTGCTTTCTTCTTCCTCTCTCTGTCTCCATTTATCTCTCTGTCTCTGTCTCTCTCTGGCAAGTGCATGCGCCCTCTGGGAAATTGGAAAATAAAAATAACAAAAATGTGAGCTAGGATGGCCATGAATGCTTTGAGGACAGGGCGGGCCTGAAGAAAAGTCTTTGAAAGATAGAAAGGAGAGTTCTAAGCAAAGGAGAGGAACTTCGCTGTGCTGAAGGGGAAAGGCTTACCCAGAGAGATGGTAAGCGCGGGGCAGGAGCGGGGCCTGTGTCAAGACTGGGAAGAGCTGGAAAAGAGAGGGGCCCTACTGTTTATGGAACACCCTCTAGACCCACCGTGGTGCTGGGGACTCCACGGAGACGTCCTCGTTTAATTCTGACAACAACGTCATTATTCTCATCTTCGGTGTGAGAGGCGAGAGGACCTCCTTACAGCCCCAGAGCTCGGACGCGATAGGGAAGAATGAGGTTCCCCTGCCTCTCACTTAGGGCTCACGCTCTTCTCTCCATGACGTGTTAAAGGGAAAGGCCAACGCCAGATTCCACCCCTCTGCCTCGTACGAAGAGAATGCATTCCTCTCTTTCCTACGAAGATGACAGGATTTGTGGTTTGTGTTTGTGTTTTAGTTTTTTTTTTTTTTGCTATAGGGCATATATGTGCATTAGAGAGAGACAGAGAGAGAGAGAGAGAGAACATGAGAAATCACTCTCCTCCCAGGGACCAGCAGTTAGTGTAATGGCTATGTTGCTGGACTCCCATGCAGTCAACTGCAGTTCGAGTCCCAGACTCAGTGGCTTAAACTCGCACCGGGCGCATGTGCGTGTGTGCCCAAGGTCCCAAGAGGAGAACGGAGGAGAAGGGATTGTAGCGTGGCTATCCCCCTCGGGGGGTGATTTCCTGCTTTCTGTCTCTCTGTCTCTGTCTTTCTGGTGAGTGAACACACCCTATAGCAAAAACCTCTCCAAGAAAAAAGAAATCACCCTCCCCAGTGGGTTAGAGGGTTGGCCACACCACAATCCATTCAGGCATGTATATGGATTGTGCACATGCACCTGCACCTGGCATGGTTTTTAAACTGCCAGGTCCAGGACTCGAACCATGTCGTTGGCCATAGGGGACCCAGCTGCCTTCACCACCATACCACCTACTGGCCCAAGATGATAAGGTGTTCGTTGTTGTTTTTCATCCCATCATTGAGCCCTGTGTTACCACTGTCACTAAAAGCCACTGGAGAGGCCGTCATTGTGGGCTCTTGGAGGGCCAACCCCTGACGCTAGGCTCTCCTCCCTCTCTCCTTGAAGGCCAGGTCCTCCGTGATGGAAAAGTATTCATCCATCTGTGCAACTACATTGAGCCCTGGGAGGACCTGTCCCTGCTGCAGAGGGAGAGCCTGAACCATCTCTACCACCTCAACTGTGCCTGCCAAGTAAGGGGACGTCCATCCCGAGGCCGCTTGGGAGTGCGGGAGGGTCTCGAGCGTTGCGGCCTCCACCCTTCACGTCTTCCTTCAGGCCTGCGTCACTCACTTACTCAACCACACTTCAGATCTGCCCCGGGTCAGACCCCGTATGAGGCTGGGGGTGGGAGCAACATGGTCCACAGCCCCTGAGCTCAAAATGTAGAAGGTATCTACATTTTGGCCAGGAAGGCGGCCTTCGGCCTAGGCAGACTGAGAGGGTACAGCCCACTTAGCAAGAGTTTACCCTGTCGGGCCCTGTCATAGTCAACTTACTTTAACTATTGAGTTGAGTCTTCATGACCAGTTTATGAAGAGTGAAGATTTCTGTGTTAAGGTGAAGAACTTAACGCTCTGGGAAGTAAAGGGACTTGCTCCAGGTCAGTGGCACAGTCAGACCTTCAGGGACAGGTGCGTCTGAAGAAGCAGAGTGCAGGGGGCCTCGGGGAAGAGTTCAGGGGGAAGTTTGGGGACTAGGCAAGGCTTCTTAAGACGGGGCATTTGCTGGGAACCAGCAGTTAGCATAGTGGCTATGTCGCTGGACTCCCACATAGTCGACCGCAGTTCGCGTCCCAGACCCAGTGGCTTAAAACTCACGCCGGGCGCATGTGCGTGCTTGCCCAAAATCCCGAGAGGAGAATGGAGGAGAAGGGATTGCGGCGTGACCACCCCCTCTGGGGGGTGATTTCTCGCTTTCTGTCTCTATGTCTCTCTCTGTCTGGCGAGCGCACGCGCCCTATAGCAAAAACCTCTCCAAAAAAAAAAATGACGGGGCATTTGCCATGGGCTACAGAGGTAACGTAGGAGTCCGAAAGTCAGCAATGGACCAAGGAGGCCCTCGATGTCGTCCCCAACTCTAGATCACCACCTGCTACACACTGCCCTGTACCATCTCAGCCCCCAACGAGTGCCTCTGGACGGACTGGCTGCTGGAACAGAAGCTGTACGGGTACCAGGCTCAGCACTACATCTGTGTGAAGCACACCGACGGCACCTGCAGCTGGTCCCAGGGCCGCCTGCCCCTCAGGAAGGAGTTCGTCGACATCGTCCATCCCTAGGAGGGGCCAGCGGCCGCCGCATCCCTTCAAGAGTCCTGAGACCAAGCCAGTTGTCCCCTCCCCGCGGAGCTCTGACCATCACCCCTGCGCCACTGCCGCGAGCCAAGGAGAAGGGCCAAGTGGAGGGTCCGGCGGTGTCCGGGCAGGGGTGGGGCATGTTACAACCAGCCCAGAAACTGCCGGGGGGCTAGGGAAGGTGGCACGACTTTTCTGTCCTGCCCTCAGCCCTGCTCCCCTGCCGCCCAGACCCCACTGGTGTGTAGCCTGTTACAGAGCGTGCTGATTTCGGCTTAATTTGTTTTCCAAAGCCAGAACAATCCCCTCGTCTCCCCAGAAAAATGTGTTTTCCTTTGCCTTCACGAGTCTGAAAGGGGAGAGATGGAGCACGCTAACCCTGTGAGGGGCGCCCCTGTGATGTGCATACCAGAGGGGGAGAGTCGTGAACACGCATTTGAACAATGCACGGTGGTCGTGTGTCCGCCACGCCTCCGCCGCAGTCATCCTACCCTTCTGACACACTGCTGTCGGTGACCTGAGAGACGGAGTCACTCCACGTGACACTCTGGCCTCCCGGGCTGTGCTGTCATCCCTCGACACCGTCTCCGGCAGAGGGTCTAGCCCATTAGCTCACTGCTTTGGACCAGAACACACTTACTGTCTAAGAATAGGTATTGTGTCTAAGTTAGCTACCCTCTTAGATCACTATGCTTTCTCATTCTGAACCTTTTTACTTTTTGATTTTTGCCATAGGGCATATAAACTTGCTGGGGAGAGACAGAGAGAGAAAGAGAAGAATAGTGAGAACTCACTCCCCGCGGGAAGGCCACGCTGCAATCCCTTCCCCTCCATTCTCCTCTCGGGATTTTGGGCACGCACGCACATGCGCCCAGTGTGATTTTCAAGCCTCCGGGTCCAGGACTCAAATCACATAGTCAGCCATTTGGGGGCCCCAGAACTTTGCTTTAAAACAAACAAAAAAACAACAACAACAATACTACTTTTTAAGAACTCGTAGAGTTGAAATCCCCCTTTCATCAGCTTTTGTTTTTTTTAAAGAGAGATTTTTGCCACAGCATACACTCACTGGAGAGACATTAAGAGAGAAAGAGAGAGAAAGCAGTAGATCACCCCCTGCCCCCCAGGGGGATGGCCATGCCGCAATCCCTTCTCCTCCATTCTCTTGGGATTTGGGGTACGCACGCACATGTGTGTGGCATGAGATTTAAGCTGCCAGGTCCAGCACTTGAACTGCAGTCGATTATATATGGGAGCCCAGCGATGTAACCATTATGCCATCTGCTGATTCCCCTTTCATCAGCTTTTGACATCTTAAAGGCATGGCTCTTTTTGATTTTTTTCCTTTTTTTGGACAGGTTTTTGCTATAGGGTGCAAGCGCTCGCCAGAAAGACAGAGACAAAGAGATAGAAGGTGAGAAATCACCCCTGGGGGGATGGCCACACCACAATCCCTTCTCCTCCATTCTCCTCTCAGGATCTTGGGCACGCAAGCACACGTGCCCGGTGTAAGTTTAAGCCACTGGGTCTGGGGATCGAACTGCAGTCGACTACATGGGAGTCCAGAGACACAGCCATGAGGCCAACTACTGGTCCCAGGCGTGGCTGTCTCCTGAGGGCAGATTTCATGGTAGAGGAGACAGGAGGGAACTAGCACAGAGGCCCTTAGGGAAGAAAGAGGGAAGACGAGGCTACTGTGCAATCCTTGTGGTTTTAAAGCAGCCAGCCCTGCTAGATGTTACAGCAGGGAAAGTCAGCACCGGTTCCCCGAGAGGCTTCCACCCTTCCGCCCAGTCCCTTCGATGCCCTGTCTTAGACTCGCCGAGGTCTCTAGCCACGGGCCCCTTGGGGGTCCTCAGCCTCTGCAAAGCTTCCTGGCTCGCCCTGCAAAGGACAGCTCGAATCTTGGCCTCTAGGATGTGTTCAGGGTGAGGGATTAAAATCCCAAGCTTTCCTGGGGAAGCGCTGGCAGAGAGGAGGTAGCTGGTTCTTCCCAGGTCCCCAGGTGGTTTTTCAGCTCCTCTGTGTGGTCTGCGGTGGGCAGGACCACACGCAGTCTGCCGGAGGAAGGCTCTGGGCTCACAGAAACGCTACCAGTGACCTCCCTTGGGGAGGGAGGGGTGGGAGGACCTGGATCCCCAGAGCTCAGCACTCCGGAAGGCTTTGCAGAGGGTCAGGATCACCAATGATCACACCAGCCTGGGGCTGAGGGTGTGGCCCAGGGGGAGAGGGAGTTCCAGTCCTGGTTGCCATGGAAGAAAAACATCAACAACCGTGGCTCCCTGCACCTTCCGACATCCTAGGTGGCCTGGGGAAAGGAAGTGCGTTAACCCAGGCTTGGGGAGGCCGGGGGTGGGAGAGCCTGGTACGGAACAGCAGTTGCAACTCCTTACGTGTGAGGAGAGTGCCCCACTTCTATCACTGTGAGAATCTCACTCACACCGTGCATGGGCCATACCAGACATCCTGCCAGGGACCATCCTGCCACCTGAGGGTCCTCCTGGGGAGCTGGCACAGGGAGAGGGAACAGGGCTGGCCCAGTGATAGTGGCTGAGCCAGAGCACAAAGCTGGGGGAGCGTCTCCTGGTTGGTCCAGAGTGTTGTCACTCAGGGACTCCATGAAACTGCCCTCCTTCCTGCCCTCCCCTGTTTGGTCCCTGGAACTTGGGACAGCAGGTGGTCGGCTCAAGTCCAGCCACCCTGGCCTCAGAGGGCAGCTACACTACCCAACCCCAGGGCAGTATCTGGGGCTGAGGTGCTGAGGCCTTTGGGGACTCCTGCAGTGGAGAGCGAAGACCCCCCCCCCACCAGCCACCTACCATCTCCTTGTGGTTGGGGTAGTAGGTCTGCTCGATGAGGGGGAACTTGTCTGCTCCCAGAGTCTTGGAGATGGCCACCAGCTGGGCAAACTGCAAAAGAGAAGCACGTTTTAGCCTACCTGAGACGACTTCCGGGCCCGAGGGCAGAGCATCAATCTACGAACCAAGGGCTTCCTGAGAGCTCGGTGGAGGGCCTGGCACTAAGCATGGCTATCATTGGGCACATCTGCTTCCAGTGGGGAAGGGCGAGAGGGAGCCAACGCTCACTGAGGACCCACTCAATTGTGCCGGGAAGTCGTCCCGTCCTCTCAGTGCATCCAACCTGCCGCCGTATCATCTTCCTCTTAGGTACGAGGCTCAGAGAGGGCCGGAGACTTGCCGAGTGTCACAGAGCTGGGATGGCTCTGTGAGTCTCTGACCCCAGACGTCTGCATCTCTGAGCAAGAGAGGCCACCGGAGAGGTTAACAGGAGGCAAATCCTGGAAGGTGGAACGGCAGGGGACGGACGGCTGCTTTTCCTGGGGGCAGAATGGAGTCACCAGGGTTCAGGGGTGTGTCGGGGAGGGGTGGTTAGACAAAACTGCTTTTAGGATGATTTGGATGGTCGTGGTGTGCGGGACAGACAGACCCAGTGTCTCCGGGACTTAATGCTCATCCAAGGACGGGATTTGGCAGCCCTTCGCCTGCAAGAACCCGAGCAGCTTGGGGAGGAAGAGGCCAAGGGCATGCAGTTACATGGTGGGGTTGAACCTTTGGAACGAATCCAATCCCCGCCCCCCCCCACATTGTATAAATGAGAAAACGGGGGCCCAAGAGGCCACTGGACCAAAGTGACGCAGTCATTGGGCCAGATTGACAGCCAGGCCCTTTCATTCCCAGTCCGTAACCTCCCCTGCCCCTCCCAGGAGCTGCCTTTCAGACTCTGCAGAGACCACGCTCTATGCGACCCACTCCCACCCACAGGCCCACCCCCAGGGCACCGGCGGCAGGGAAAATCGAGGCTCTCCGAATACTCCTGGGCTTAGCTCACCCCTCAGGTATTGCCAGAAGGGGAAAGTGTCAGATCAAACCTGCCTCCGCAGAGAAAAGAAAGCTAGCACACTTCCCAAAGCTCAGGGCTGAACTCTAAAGGCCACGCTGGCCCAGGAGCGGCTGCGGAGCAGGGAATGGCGCCTACTGCTCAGTGCAAAGCCAGGTGGGGCTGAGCAGCGCTGCAGTGGTAAAGCGAAACGCTGCAAGGCTGACCCACATGGGAAGGCTCTGGGTTCGCGTCCCAGGATCCCTGAGAGCACAAACATCATCATCGGGGGCTGCAGTGTTGGGACCTGTTGGGGGTGACATTGTCCCTGTCTATTGCTCATAGAAGAAACAAACAAGCAAACCAAGAAGAACAACACACTGTATGTAGTCTTCCTAATCTTTTTTTTTTTTTTTGAGAGCTTTTCGCTATAGGGCGCGTGCGCTCGCCAGACAGACAGAGAGACAGAGACAGAAAGTGAGAAATCGCCCCCCAGGGGGGATGGTCACACCGCAATCCCTTCTCCTCCGTTCTCCTCTCAGGATCTTGGGCACGCACGCACATGCGCCCGGCATGAGTTTTAAGCCACCGGGTCCGGAACGCGAACCGCAGTCAACTACGTGGGAGTCCAGCGGCATAGCCATTACGCTAACTGCTGGTTCCCAGTCTTCGAATTCTTATTCTGCCTTTGAAGTTGCTAGGTATCCTTGGGCAAATGATGTCTCCTCTCCAGGCCTAAATTTCTTTCTTTAAAGTTCATTTTAGGGCCAGCAGATGGCATTGTGTTTAGGTTGCTATACTCCCACATGGCCAACTGAAGTTCAAGTCCTGGACCCGGTAGCTTAAAACACACGCCAGATGTGTGTGCATGTGTGCCTAAGATCCTGGAAGAATGGAGGAGAAGGGATTGCAGCATGGGCTTCCCCTCTAGGGGGTGATTTCTCACTTTCCCTTTCACTGTCTCTGTCTCTCTCCAGCAAGCACACGCACCCTAAAGCAAAAAAAAGTTTATTTTGGGGGAATCAGCAGGTGTTGTAGTGGTTAAGGGGCTGAACTCCCACATGGCCAACCATGGTTCAAGTCTTGCACCCACTGGCTTGAAACTCACACTGGGCATGAGAGGGTGTGTGCTCAAAATCCCAAGAGGAGAATGGAAGAGAAGGGATTGTGGTGTGGCCATCCCCCCAGCCCAGGGGGAAGATGATTTCTTGCTTTTTGTCTCTGTCTCTCTGGCAAGTCTACATGCCTTTTAGCAAAAAATCTCACTAAAAAAATGTTTATTTCTGGGGGCCAGCAAGTGACATGGTGGTTAAGGTGCTCGACTCCCACATGCCAACCACAGTTCGAGTCCTTGACCTGGCAACTTGAAACTCACTTTGGGCGCATGTTCAAGCATGCCCAAAATTCTGAAGGAAGAATAGAGGAGAAGGGATTGCCACATGGCCAGCCCCCCCCGGGGGGGGGGGGTGTTTCACTTTTTCTTATCA